TTGTTTGTTTCTGAACGATTCGCCTAGTTTTATATATATATATACACATCTGATGATTATGATGAAGATGATGATTCGGTTTCTTTTCTTCGTTTCGTCATTTTACCCCCAGTAAAATACTCAAAGAAAATATAGACGAATGAGAAAAGAAAGAAGAAGAAAGAAATTGTTCTGTGGCTCCAAAATAAGTTGACAACACACACACACAAACGCAGACAGTATATACACAAAGTCGAAAAGAAAGAAAGAAAAAAAATTCTCCGCTAAAAGTTCTCGGTGTTTGTATGTATGTATGTATTGTGTGTATACGACAAAACAACAACAACAACAACAACAACAACAATTCTAATTCTGAATAGTGTGTGTATGTGTGTGTGTTGAATATTCTTCTTTTTTTTATTATTATTTTTGGTAAATCATTTTATCCATGCTATTCATTATTCTGTATGTGTATGTATGCGTTAGTTTGTTTGTTGTCAATAATATAGACCATTATTATTACTGTGTTCACATAATACATCAACAACAACATTTCCATTTCCATTTCATTCATTCAATAACATCAAATTTTTTGACAACAAATAAATGAATGAAATAAAAAAAAATTCTCATACAACAACAACAACAACAACAACAGAATTCAACATACTCATCAACAAAGAGAGAGAGAGAGAGAGAGAGAGAAAAACATTGACAACTACAGATATCATTTATTTGAATTTGTTGTTGTTGTTGTTGATGATGATGATGATCTGATTATTATTGTCGATTCTGTGTGTGTGTTTTTGTTCCATTATATTAAACATTAAACGGCTTTATGAAAACAAGCGAAAAAAAATGCTGGTTTTTTTTAAATTTTAAAATTTGAATTTTTTTTTTGCCATTCTGTGTGTGTGTGTGTTTTGAACAATGTTCCTAAAAGTGTTGAAAATTATCGAATAATAATCGACAGTGATGTTCAATTTTTTTTCCCATTTTGTTCATATTTTTTTTGTGTGTGTTATTGTTGTTGTTAATAATTGTAGAATTAACTTGAATCCAAAAAGAAGAAGACACGAATATCGACAACAACAACAACAACAAAATTCTTTCCATGCAAACATCAACATTGAGAGTGAAAGAATAAAAACAACAACAACAACATTATTTGCTGCTATTTAGTTATGATGATGATGAAAATAGGAAGAAATTCGTGATAAGATTGTGAAGAAGAAGAAGAAAAATTTTTTTTTTCATTTGAAAAAAAACTGGCTGACTGGTTTGGGTTGATGAAATTCTTGTTGTTGCCAGAATTCATATCTTTTTGATTATGATGATGATGATGATGTTTGCCAAATAAGTGTATCATACACACACAGATGCATGCAGAATTTTATTATTTTATCCATGATGATAATGATCATCATGATAATGATGATGATTACTGTATGACATTTGCCGGATAAATTTATTCTTTAAATATCAACATTCTTTAAACAAAATCCAAAAGAAAACAATCATCATTTCAACTTTATATTGATCATCATCATCATCATATCGACATTGTTTTTTTTTTTTTTTTTTTTGGAGAGAGATCTTCAAATTCAGATCTTATAAAGAAAATTCTGAGAAATTTTTATCTGGAAAAATACGATGAACACCGCCTAAAAATTTTTACTGATAAATATCTGACTAAACAACAACAACAACAAAAAAAAAACCAACAAAAAGTGACTAAAAACCAAAGAATAAATAGAACAACAACGACGACGAAAATTCTGCCGTCAGCATTCACAGCGTTTACAATTGCGGTTGTTGTTGCTGTTGTTGTTGATTTTCTTCATTAAATTTGTTTTTTCTTACGGTTACTGAATTTTACACATAGTGAGATTACACAAATTCAAATCAACCGAATCATCGAAATTTTCGCATTCTTTTTTTTTCTTTGTTTTTGTTTCGTTTGATGATTATTCCATACACATCATATAGCCATCATCAAGTTAGATAAGATAGAGTGATACATACTAAATACACGAATCAACCATGTATTTATTTACATGAACGAAGGGCAACAAAAAAGTAAAGAGCAAAGAATAAAGAAAAAAAAAATAGCCAAAATTTAATTCTGTATTCTGAATTCTACCCATGCGTCGTATGGTGAGAATAAAATTTTTTTTGTTTCTGCTCATTGCCCATTCTGTTTTGGAACTAACCATTCTCGCACACACACACTTACACACACAGAGAGAAACCTGGTTAAGGTTAATTAAGGTGTATTTTTCATTATAAAATCATCTTTACCGTTTTCATTTCACTTGAATCATTGTTGGCTTTAATCTTTCTAATTTTTTTTCTCCGTTTCGGTTATATAAGAATTTCCGCTGCAATTTTTACAGTGATAAAAAATTCTCCACCTTTTTTCTCAACCGGTATACACCACGAATATAAATCACGATTAATAGTTATATATATGGTATATATGAACCGAGCCAAGATTTAAAGCCAAACAAAAAAAAATTTGAAATGTCAACCATGTTTGTGTGTGTGTGTGTGTGTGAGTGGAAAACAATAAAATTCGGTCGAGATTTAAATCATTTCACATTGATTGATAATCGATTGTTTCAATCATTGCTACAAACAATGATAATTTGATTGGGTGTTTTGTTTTGGTTTTTTTTCCTGTGAATACAACTCCTCTCATCACTATCATTATCATCAATTTGGATCGTTTCACATGCGCATTTCAATGTTTTTTTTCAACATTTCACAAATGACATTCATATATTATTCTTATTTTCGTGTGTGTGTGTGTGTTTTTTTTTTCAGTGATGGTTCATCATCATCATAATCATCGTAACGAGAAAAAAAAATTCTTAAGTGATGATGATCTTATGATAATGATGATGACTGTGTTGATGATGGTGGCTGATTTGTTTAAAAATATCGTTATATCGCTGTGGTTGTTTTTCCAAAAAACCAACTTTTTTTTATTATTTGCTGATTTAATATCATCATTATAAACTCGTCATCAAAATGCTGTCATTAAAATCAATAGCGACAGATACAAACGGAGAATTTGCAATGAGATGATGAATAAATAATCGCTATATTTAGACATTTAAATATATAATAAATAAATGACTGACTGACTAACGTGGAATTAAAACTTGAAATTGAATTGAATTGAATGTGAAAAAAAACGATCGATATGAACAACCAAAATAAAACAACAACAACAACAACAACAAACGAGCATCATCCTCCATCATCATCATCATCACGGTGTCGATACGAAATTGAATGACAAAGTCTTGAATCAAAGTGTTTGTGCTTCGATGATTTTTTTACAGAATTTACAACAATAAAAACGACAAACAAACAAACGAAGAATTTGAAGAATTGTACTGTGTTAATAGATTCTATGTCGTTGTCGTCGTCGTCGTCATCATCTTTTTGATTCTTTTTTTTTTTGTTTGTCATCATCATCATCTATCGGTTTATTAGCATTGACATTTTTTTTTATCCACCGTAAAGATCATCATTATCATCATCATTGACAAGTGTAAAGTGAGAGAGTGAAAACGCCCGAATAACAAGAAAAAAAAATTTCCCATTTTTTCACTTTGCTAATTCGTTCGACATTTTATTTTATTTTTTTCAACGACGAAGACGACGACAACGATGATGGTTGTGGTGGTGGTGGTGGTTGTGGCCAAAAATTCAGAAAGATAAAAAAAGAAATTTATGGCCAAAACCAATGATGAAAATGGTGGAAATCTGAAAAATATCATCACCACCATCGACTATATCAATGACAAAAGAAAAAAAAAACATTCTGCTCATCCACATTTTTTCTCTCTCTCTCTCTCATCATTATTATATGATGATAAAATTATGAATTTAAATCTATAAAGATTCTTAGCAAAAAAAAAAATGATGATGATGATGATGATGAAAAATGCCCAGAAGAGATATTCTACATTCATAGAATTATGATGATAATATTCTATTGCTACTACTACCACTACTACTAGTTTTGATAATCATCATGATTACTAAGATGCCCTACTACATCGTTTGTCCGGAATGAAATAGGAAAAAAAAATATCAAACTCAAATGGCAATGTTTTTCCAATGGGAATTAATAATAATGTTATAATATATTGCTCCATTTTGAATCAACAAAAAGTGTAAAAAATCAGTGAATTCTGTAAATCATCTTTTTTTTCTCTCTTCTTCTCTCTCTTCGCTCTTTTTGTTATTGAAGAAAAATAAAACGATTCACCTGAGACATTCAAACACTCAAACACACAAACACACACACACACACACACACACAAACTTTCAGAATATTCTTGAATTGAACAAGAATTTGTTTTTTTTACTTTGCTTAAAAATTATACATTAATATTTCTGTGTGTGCATGTGTTTGTGTGTTTGTTCATGGAATGATTTCTTATTTCCTTCCACAGAAAATCCAGTATATATTTACTATTTAAACAAACAAAATTTATAGCTCGACCATATAAATATGACAATTTTTCATTGATTTTCTCACTTGTTTGTCTGTTGTTTTTTTTTTTCCTTGTCCGTCCTATAGTCTCATGAATATTCTTTGATTTTATATATGTGTGTGTGAATTTATTCAATTTATTTATTGTGATTTCATTACTCACAATTACTCGTTATTTATAGCCAAATCTTAACGTTTTTTTCTGGGTTCTGTTTTTGTTTTGTTTCAATTTTCATTCTCAACAACAACCAAAAACAAACAAAACAACCAAAACAACAACAATCGAAATCAAATCAAATGTAAATAACATTGCGCATATATACACAAAAAAACACAAAACGACCAAGCTGAACAAAGGCAAAAGAAAAAACAAGATCAATGATTGATTGGAATAATAGTGCCAACATATTCACGAAATAACAAGAAGAAAAAAAGCCAAAATACAAAGAAATAAAAAGAAATCATAAAAGGTTCATCATCAATCATCATTGATTAACCTTGTTAACAATCATTTTTTGTTTTGTTTTTGTTTTTCTCTTCTTTGGCTTACAAATTCATCAATCAATCAATCATACACACACTAAACACAAACATCTTGATCACAATAACGACATCTTTCTTTTCAAACAAACAAACAAAAAAAAATTTTCTTCATTCATAAAATTTTTCGATTCAAATAGCCAGTAAAGCTGTGTTCGAAATTTTGTGATTGTTTTTTCGGCCTCTTCTCGCAAAAGCAAGAAGAGGAAAGCAGCAGCAGCAGCAATAGCCGCAATAGCAGCAGCAGCAGCAGCACCAGTATGACGGCTCCAAAAAGGCCAGAGCCAAAAGAAAATGCTGCAGGCGGTCATTGTATTGCGGCTGGAACATTGGTGGTCGCCAACACCCCCACCACCACCACCACCACTACTGCCAGCACCACATTGACGCCAACGCCATTTTCTACAAAAAAATCGGCTAAGGTCACAACAATATTGTTAAATAAGCCAACAACAACAACAACAACAAAAAATCGTGTAAATAACAACAACAACAACAACAACAATAAAATTTGTACAAAATCTAAACCTGAATCAAAATGGAATAATGATAATGTAAATAAAACATGTCATTTGAGTCATAGCCACCATCCACATCAACATTCACATTCTCATCATCAACATCAACATCATGATCATCATAATTATCGTTCAAAATCTACATCAACAACAACAACAACAACAACGACAGCAGCGACAGCGACAACAACAACAACAACAACATCACCATTAATACAATCGCTACCACATCCACATCAATTAGCACATCAGCATACTTATCCGAAAATATCATTAACATCAATAGCATCAGCTGGTTGCATAAAAGAAGAAGATGGATATGATGATGAATTTAATAATTATCATCATCATCATCATTCAAATGAAGATGATGATGATGGTATTTCAAACAATACAACCAATTCTTCATTATTAGATAAACGTCGTCTTAGTGCTCAATATAGTGGTAATGATTGTTTTGGTCATGATAATAATAACCAATCAATTATTGATGATCATCATCAACGTCGACATTATCGTCGTTCAGAAGATTATGATGATGATTCACCTGGTTTAAGTTCAACTAGTGCAACTGTTGGTGGTGGTACTAATAACGGTAGTGGTGCTGGTGGTGGTGGTGGTGGTGGTGCTAACATTCCACGAACATTCAGTACATCAGCTTTACGTATGAAAAATCGTAGTTTTTTCTGGGACCGTTTACAAGCTGCACCAAGGTAGGCACATGATGATGATGATGATGATGGTTTGAACATGAATTGGTTTTATTTTTCATTCGACAAAAAAAAATTTTGACTTTTGACATTTCATCATCATCATCATCATTATTATTATTATTTTTTGCGCAATATTTGCATATTCAATTCGGCTAATCGGCTTAAATTTTTCTCGCATATGTTTGGTTTTTTTTTAAAAAATTTCAAATTTTTAAAATTCTTTTCCATTCTTTTTAATCTTTTTTTTTTCATAGCCATGCTGAAGATCTTATCGTCACACCATTTGCACAAATTCTTGCGAGCTTACGTAATGTCCGTAATAATTATATTCATATTACAAATGTTCGATATCCAACCAATCGGTATGTCTGTTTGTTTTCGTTTGTTTTTCTTTCATTAATTATTAAAATTTTTTTTTCTGTATACAAAAACAGTCCACGTGAAGTTGGACGTCGACCTAGTTATACACAATTAATTCAACAACAACAAACACAACAACAACAACAACAACAAATTAATACAAATCAGCCAACAACAACTAAACAGCCAATAGACGATATAATGTCTAGATTGGCTGTGGAAACCCTTGAAGAGCTTGATTGGTGTATGGATCAATTGGAAACAATACAATCACATAGATCTGTTGGTGATATGGCTACCAGTAAATTTAGACGAATGTTAAATAAAGAATTAAGTCATTTTTCTGAAACAAAATCTGGAAGTCAAATTTCAGAATATATTTTTCGTACATTTTTAGGTTAGTTAGTCTCTTGGTTGATTCCATATGTTTTGAATTGATTTAATTAAAAAAATTTTTTTTTTTGTATTATTAATTCTTGTAGACAAACAAGAAGAATTAGATTTACCAATATTACAATTGGAAGAAAGTTCCAAACAAGGATCATTGGCCATTTCATCTGGATCTTCTAGTAATACAACTGCAGTTGCATCACCTGCCGATAATGCTGCTGCTGCTGCAACTACTACTACTACTACTAGTACTGATATAATGAAGATATCACCACCACCATCATCATCATCATCTGCCATACAACCATTATCAGGAAAAAATTCTCCAGCACGTACAATGTCACATATATCTGGTGTACGTAAATCAACATTAACACATGCAAATAGTTTAACAAAAACGCCAAGATTCGGTATTGAAGCAGCTAATGAAGAAGAATTATCTAGAATATTTTCCGATATGGATAAATGGGGTATCGATCTATTCAAAGTGTCTGAATATTCTAATCATCATCCATTGACTACTGTTATGTATACTATTTTTAGAGTATGTATTATTAATTTTTTTTATATAATCATCATTTGAGAAATTAATTAAAAAAAATTTTTCCATTTTTGGACAGTCACGTGATTTAATGAAAACGTTCCAAATACCATCACAAACTTTCATTCGTTTAATGTTAACATTGGAAGATCATTATCATATTGATGTACCATATCATAATAGCATACATGCAGCTGATGTTGCTCAATCTGTACATGTGTTATTATTATCACCAGCACTTGATGTATGTGTTTTTTTTACATATTTTTGATGATTTTTCATTATTGAAAACAAAAAAATATTTATTTTATTTTATTTTATCACATCTCATTTAGTCTGTATTTACTGATCTTGAAATATTAACGGCATTATTTGCCGCTGCCATACACGATGTTGATCATCCTGGTGTTACTAATCAATTTTTAATCAATTCAAGCTCTGAATTAGCATTAATGTATAATGATGAATCTGTATTGGAAGCACATTCATTGGCCGTTGCATTTAAAGTGCTACAAGATCCTGATTGTGACATTTTTATAAATTTAAGCAAAAAACAGCGTCAAACATTACGTAGAATGACAATAGACATGGTATTGGCCACCGATATGAGCAAACATATGAGTCTATTGGCCGATTTGAAAACAATGGTGGAAACAAAAAAAGTGGCCGGTTCTGGTGTATTATTTTTAGACAATTATACTGAACGTATACAAGTTTTACAAAATATGTTACATTGTGCCGATTTATCTAATCCAACCAAAAAATTGGAACTATACCAAAAATGGTGTTCATTATTGATGGAAGAATTTTTTCAACAAGGCGATAAAGAACATTCAATGGGCCTAGAAATTTCACCAATGTGTGATCGTAATAATGCAACTATTGAAAAATCACAAGTCGGTTTTATCGATTATATTGGTATGTGATCCACATTTGATTTTTTTTGTTATTTCAGTTGAATTTTCATTTTTCTTCTTTTTTTTTGGTTGTATAGTTCATCCATTATGGGAAACATGGGCAGATCTTGTACATCCAGATGCACAGGATATATTGGATACATTGGAAGAGAATCGTGATTGGTATCAAAATATGATACCAGCAAGTCCAACAAATGAAAAAGAAAATGATAATAGTAATGAACATAATAGTCGACGATCATCATTGGCTGCTGTTGCTGAAAAAATAAAATTTCAAGTCACAATTGAAGAACCAGAAGATGAAGATGATAATAATAATCATCATGATCATGGTCATGATCATGATGATGATAATTGTGGTAAACATGGTGATGATTAATTGATTAAATATGGATCGATTTTGAAATAACAATTTTCAACACTCTTTTTCAACCATCCAAACAAACATTTACCTGGGGCTGCATTTATTTTTCTTTTCTTTTCATTATCACCATCAGTGTTATTTCATTTGAAAGAAAAGAAAAAACAAACAATCAACTGCAGAATTGACATTTCTATGAACACAAGATTCTTTCACTCACTCACTCACTCACACACACACACTATGTCTCTGTAACTGATAAAAAAAAACTTTTATAAATTAAAAAATTATTCTGATTCTGATAATTAAGATGAAAAAACAAACAAACCGGAATTTGTTAAATTGTTGCTGTTTTTATTATTATTATTATTGATTATTGATTATTGATCATTATTTTGTTAATTTTCATGGTGATATATTCTCTTTCCTTCTCTTTCTCTCTCTCTCTCTCTCTCACTCTCTATACATCTATATAAATTGTTCATCATTTCGCTTAAATATGTCACACTTACTATTTGAATTGTGAATGTTTTATCATCATCGATCATCGATTTGTGGATTTTATTGTTTTTATTATTATTCCGATTTTTTTTCTGTTGTGAGATAAATAAAAAAAAAAAATTTTCATTGAAAACCAAAAAAAAATGAAAAAAATGGAGAAATTCTGATTAAATTCAATTAAAAAAAAAAATTTCAATTTCATTCTGATTCTGATTCTGATTCCGATTCTGTTGATGAATAAATGTAGTGAAGCCAACATTTATTTTCATTTTCATTTTTATTTTGATTTAATATCACCAGATGTCGTTACCGTATCGACAATAATTGAATTACGTATGGCGCCACCAACATCATCATGACTATTATGACCATTTTAATCATAAGCAAAAAAAAAAAAAAAAAAACAAAATCATCATCAATCACTAAACTTATATATTGAATGAAACAACAACGAAAAAAAAACGAAAATTTTTTTTATTTTGATTCCGATGGACATGAAATAAACAACAACAACAACAACAACAACAACAACGACAACAACAACAACAACAACAACTGGAAAAATTTTTTTTGATTCGTTTGTGCTTATGCAACCAATCGTATGGTTTTATTTTTTTTTAGTTTTGTTTGATTCACATCATTTGTTTCTAATGACGATGCATTTTTTTTCCCATTTCTTTTCATTTTGTTTTGTGTCCATTTTCTGTCCATTTAACTATGTTGTCGCATTTTTCCATTCTCCTTACATACTAATTGAATATCATTCATGGTCTATAGTGAGCAGAAAAACGTAGAAAAAAAAAGAATGAGAAAAAAAAACTATATATCCATTGACCGAAGAAAATAAATAAAAAATAATCGAACCTAAATTGTCTTTTTTTATTATTATTATCATTTCTCGCTTTATGTCCATTAGATTACACTGTTACACACACACACAAAGACACATATCATTTGACACTTGTGAAATTCATTTTCGTTTCCAAATTTCGAAATAAAAAAAAAGTAGAAAAAGACTTTGAATTGGTTTTTTTTGCACTTGTTTCATTCTCTGTTTGTGTTTGTCCACAAGCAGCAGTGGAGACAAAAAAAAATTCTTCACACATCTTTTTTTAATTCATCTTGGTTGGCTGGTTATTTGTTGGTGGCATTTTTTTCTCTCTGTATGTGTGTGTGTGTGTGTGTGTGTGTGTGTAAAGTTCATTTGTCAATCAATTTATAAAGAACTGAGAATTCTGTTTCTCTCGTTAGTCGTATTTCGCATTCTGTTTTTTTTCTGTTGCTAATTCTTTGTTTGTCCACTAATTTATTAATTGCCGATTGTCAATAATTTTCCTTTTTTTCATTCTAGTACATTGTCTATGTGTGTGTGTGTGTGTGTGTGTCTGAGAGAAAAAAAAATTTCATTTCTTCGATTTTTGTTGATTCATTCAATCATTCATTATATGTTTGTTTGTTTGTCTCTCTCCCTCTCTCTCTATCTATCTATTTTTGATCTTGATTCCAATTCGAATCAGCTATTTTTTTTTTTTGATTCATTCCATTCACATCATTCATGATCAATTTTGTTTTTTTTTTTTTTCGTAGTTGTATTTTGTATCGATTTTTCACGTCATTACTAGAATTGGTAAAGAATTCGTCTTTGGTTCAATTATTAAGAAATGATAATAAAGACAATAATAATGTAAATGTGATGCAATTTATTCACAATTAAATGGACCGAAACAGATAAACAAAACAAAGTAAGTATAAGTATAAGTAAATTATAATGAAAAAAACTAATTTTTCACAATTATAAATAAAAAAGAATTAAAACTAGACTACGTTCATAGACAACGTGACAAGTGTATAGACTCTATGAATGGTGCAAAAAAAATGTGTGTTTGTGTCTGTGTGAATGTATAATCATAATTTTGTTGGCTGTTACTACAAACTGATCATTATCATCCACATCATCATCATCATCATCATCATTTCAAAAAAAAAAAATTCATTTTTGTTACTTACCAAAAATCATTTTCAATGATGATTGCTTGATTGCTTTCAAAGTAAAAAAAAAAAAATTAAGAACTAATTTAATTATATTAATGATGATGATGATGATGAGATGATGATTATTCACGATTATTACGCTATATATGAATGTTTGTATAACCATCATCATGAGCAACATTTCATTTTGTGTTATTTAACTTTTTTTTTCATTCTCGAATTTTTTTTTTTTTTATATATCTTGAAAATCATCATTGCATATATGAGAATACATTCAGACGACGGCTAGATGGTTATTTTTTTTTCTCTTTGGTTGGGGGCTCAATTCCATTTTGGGTATACAAAAAAAAAATTTCTCGTTAACTTTTTTTCTTCACTAATTTTCTCTTTACTGGATTCGTTCAAAAAAAAAATCTTATAATGTGATGATGATGATCGTGATCACACAACCCAATGATCAAGATAATGATGATGTTTTTTTTTTCTCACATGGCAGTGGCATTGGTGGTGGTGGTGGTGGTGGTGGCGTTGGTGGTACATGAGAAGAAAATAAGAAAACCCCTAACCCCTTTTTCAAGTATAAAGCAAATCAACATTCCATTTCACGGCATGTTTGTTCATTGTGTGTATGTGTGTGTGTGTGTGTGAAACTTTATTTTTTTTTTTTCATTTTGCATAATTATGATGATGATGAAATTTTTTTTTCTTCTGCTTCAACAGAAAAAAAATGAAAATGATTCTTGTCGTTAATTACGAAAAGTCATTATAATAGTTCCCGGTTTAGTCACAGTCAAAAGTTAATAAGGTGTAAGAATTTTGTTTTTTTCGTTTTTGTTTCTTTCTTTCTTTTTCAAAATTTTTTCAAATTCAAGAATCTTTTTTTTATGTTTTTTTACCATTTCAAAGTTCTAGCCCACACACACACACACACACATTCATTCTTGAACACCATTATTCTTCTCATCATCAGAATCAGAATCATCAGAATGGTTTTGAACGATGGAATCTATAAAAAGTCATTATTTTTTTTTTCGTTCGTTACACATAAACAACAAATGACATTATCATTATCATTCTGATTCTTGAATTTAGTTTGTCAAAAATAAAAAAATCGATCGACAACTTCATTGCCATTCTGGTTGTTTGTTTATTTTCTTTTTGACCTTCAAGTTCTCTTCTCTCTCTCTCACACTTAATTTTATGATTTTTCTATTTTCATTTTCAATGACCAGGGAAAAGAAACCAGATTTTTTTTTTTTTTTTGGCTCAGATAATTCCATTTTCAATTCAATTTCGACAATTATATCAGAATTGTATTACCCAATCACAACAGTCATCATCAGAGCTGAAAGACCCATTTATTTGTGTTTAGCCAAATGTAGCCATTTTTTTACCATTTCAAAATCTTGATCGATTTATTTAGTCAATCTATATATATGATGTAATCATTGTAATTCTCTCCATCATCATCATCATCATCATCATCACTTTGTCATCATCATAATCAAGTTTTGATTTCTAAACATCTATTTTTTCATCCATTTTGATAAACTAAAAACGAAAAAAATTTTCATTATCATCATCATCATCATCATCATTATAATCTGTATGTCTTTTACTTTCAACCATGTAAATGTTGTTTATGTATATATAAAAATATTCATACTCTTGAAATGGTTGAATACAATGACGATCATCATCATCATCATCATCATCAGACCATTAAGAATTGGTGTACCAATCGTTTGATGATGATGATGATGATCACACATCCATACACAAAGCAATAATCCAAGAATATTCAAAAAAAAAGTAAAAAAAATGAAAAGTTACGAAATGAATGAACAAAAAGGAAATAAGAATAAAAAATATGAATGAATAAATGAAATGAAATGAATCTAAAGTGGTTTGGTTTTTCATTGTTCGCATTTGGTTCCACCATTTCTTTCTTTTTTTTCACACACTAAATGTTCAATTATTGTTTCCTGTTTTGTTTGTTTGTTTGTTTGTTTGTTATCATTCTGGTTGTTTTTTTTCATTTTCATTTCATTTTCTTTTCTTTTCGTTCGTAGATCAATGTTTGAATTGTGTGAAAAAAAATGTTGAATTTTAGTTTTTCACTTTCTCATTTCATTCATTCAACCAAAAAAAAAAAAAAGAAGAAACATCATCATTGTTTGTTGCTATACGCGACCTACATATATATATATTTTGTATGAATGTGTCAAGAAAGTTGTTTATGTGTATTTATATGGTTTGTGTTTTGTTGTTGTTCATAGCCAGAATATTCATGAATTTTACAGAATTTTATTCTTTCTCTCTCACGCTGTTTTTAAAAAAATGAATAAAATCTAGTTTATACATGAAGAAAAAACATGAATTTCAGATTTTTCCGCTCCAAACACATACATAAAAATGGGAACATTTTTTTTAAATCAATCAATAAAGACAGGATTGATTTTGACTTG